ATACAAAGATATATAAATATATATCTCCCCCAAGGCGTGAGGTCCCGCTGAGTAAGTGGATGTGAATGACGTGTAACCAAACACTTTCCCAGACACCCTAATGAATTTTCCATGTTTTCCATCATTTAGCTTCTAAATAGGCAGTATTCACAAAAACACCCACCCCAACCCCAACAAACCCCCCATCCTTTCCAGCAGGAGGCCCTGTAGGAGGATTAACCCCCCGCAGATGCCCGTGGAGATGATGCCAAGGTGGGAACCTCACACTGGACCAGGAGATGGGTGTCCCTGTTTGTAGGTTCAGGGGGTCTCTGGGAGTGCAGGGTGGCTGCTCTCCACCTCTCTTTGGCCCTATTTCAGAGGAACAGGATTAGGTCTCATTTGTGCAAGGCTCGTTAAGGGCTTGATGAGGGCAAGGGATGGTGTGGCCAGGGCAAAAGCCAGGATTTTTCTCCTGTATTCTGCGTAGCCTCCAAGTCTTTGCAGGCTAAAAGATTATTTACTAAGGCAGATTGGACACAACAGAGCCATTAAAATAGAGGCTGGGCTTTAGAGCTGGGTCTGGAATGAGAATGGAATAAGATTTTTGCTGAGACTTTTGTTAGTTGTGATCTCAAAGGAAATAGTCTTCATTTTTCCTCGGAGATTTTTCAGCCCGAACTCCAGGCAATTTAATATCTGAATGCTCAAAAAAATTGTCTTCCAAGCTCCAGTGATTTTTTTTTCTTCCCCTTTTAGTTTACTGTTGCAAAAGAAACCCAAGCATTCCTGCTCTGACTGCCCCAAACTGTTGCTTCCAGCCCTGTTTTCCAGCGTCCCCCTGGAACAGCAGGAGCCCTTGGGTATTTGGGAATTTTTGGGAGAGGATGGTGCACTTCACATCCACAATGCCATGCTGGGATAGAAGCTTTCTCATTTAAATCCATTAAAAAAAAACACTTGTGTGTAAGCAAGATGCAGTGGCAGCACGTTGGATGCTGTGCACGGTAGGTGGCCCATATAAAAGTATCACCTACATAAAAACATCACCCATATGAAAATATCACTCATATAATAATAATAATAATAATAATAATAATAATAATAATAATAATAATAATAATAATAATAATAATAATGCCCATATAAAAATAATACCCATATAAAAACAACACCCATCTGGCCCTCAGGTGTTTAATACCATCACCTCCCTGGGCCTCCCAGCTGGATTTTAGCTGCTGCCACGTCCCCCCTGCACTGGTTTGGTCCAGCCACATCCTCACCCCCTCTGCCATCACCCCATGGGTGCCATCACCAAACTCACTTGGCAGAGGGCTGACACCCCAAAGATTCCACGGATCCCATGGTTGTCAGCACAACAAAGCCCTTGTTATTCATCCTCTTCTTTTTTTCCCTTTCCTTCCCCTTGCAGCTTTAAACGAGGCTGCGAGAAAAAGCGCAGCTCAAACTTGGAACAGAAAGTTCCTGTAAATAACAGCTACACCTCGGGGTGTTTCCTCTCCCAGTAGCTGTGAAGAAAAAGGCAACTATGTCTTGGGTTTGCCTTGGAACACATTTCCGCTGGCCAGGGCTGTGGAGCCAGGGCTGAGCATTTATTGTGGTTTGGTTTGGGCTTTTCCTAATTTTTTTACCCCCCCTTCCTCTTTTTTTTTTTTTTTTCCTTTTTTTTTTTTTTTCCCCCTCTCTTTCCATGCAAACACTGCTGAGGGCTGTGCCCAGGGAGATGCTGCAGAGAGGAGGCAGAGCCCTGGCTCCAGCACGTCCTGCCTGCTCTCGGGCAGGGCTCTGGCACGGCCCTGGCGTTCCTTCCCCGGGATCATGAATAACTGTGGCGCTGAGTGACTCGGCTCCTCGGGAGCCCCAGCCTGCAGCGCCTTGGCATGGGCTGCTATTGTAGGCTGGGGTTTTTTTCATTTTTGCCTTTTCAGTCATTTGGGTTCTGGAGGCGAGTGGTGAGTGCTAAAGGGTTTGGGCTTGGACCGCCTGGGAGTTTGGGTCCCGCTGAAGATTTGTGCCGGAGCTTTGGTGGCTCGAGAAGCGATGACAGGCGGAGGGCAGGGAGTGGGGTGCTTGGCTGGGATGCAGAGATCACCTTGCCAGGTCCACCCCAGCGCAGGGTTAGTGGTCCAGACCCACCTTGGAGAAGCATAAAGGGGTTTTCTCAGAGCCCATCACATCCCTGCCCACCCCCCCTCCCTGGACACCCTTGCCATGTCTCCTTGGGCCAAACTGCAACTGAGACCAGTCATGACACAACCCCCCCCCGCCCCAAACCCCAAATCTGGGCACTGTGGTGCTCAAAGAGGTGCCAAAATCAGACCCTGGAGAAAAAGCAGCGTGAGGAGCCTTCCTGTGTGGTGGGGCACAGACCCCGCAGCCAGAAGTGAGCAGGCGGAAGGCACCAGGACGGACTCGTAACCATACGTTTATTATTCCACATGGAAAGTCATTAACACGATTACATGGAGGCCTGGCTTGATAATCACGTACATTGGATAAGAACATCGACACCGATACCAGAGAAGCAGAACTGACCACTGTGCCATCCCCAGCCCGACTCTTCTCAGGGAAGCCACAGCTTCTTCCAATGACTTCAACAGGAGCAGACCCTCCTCCTCCTCCTCTCCCTCCCCCTTCCCCCTCCCCAGTGACAAGTGCTACAGGTTAAAAAGTTGGGCTACATATTAAATATAGGGCATTACCTTCAAGTAGGGCTGGTATATTACACAAATAACCACTTTTTTTTTTTTTTGGTATCACTAGCTTTTTTTTTTTTTTTTTTTAATGTCTGTCATAAGACACCATTGAAAAAAAAAAACCCAAAAAAACTTCAGCCTTCTTTATCTACAAAGATCTTTGTTCTCATCTCCTTAGTCTGGTGTTATTTTACCCTGCACATACAAGTATTAGAAGCATTATTAAGAATCGTATCCTTCAACACATTTAAGAATTATATTATTATAACAAATAAGACCAAAAATTAGATTTTTATAGTTAAATATTCTGTGAGCCAGACAAAGGGGTTTTACTGTACAAGCGATTGTGCATTTTTTTAAAAAAAGCAAATTATAGTGCAAAGCAAAAAACATTGGCCTGTCTCGTGACCATTTGCATACAACAGAGGTGCATCTATTTACACCTTCACATGACAATATGTCATAAAAACAACATCCTTGCCGTTCTTATTATTTTCTCTTTTTAAAATCCGTTACGAACAGTCTTAAATTAACCTAATACTACGAATGCCTTGTTTCCTTTGTGCTTTCAATCAGTGGATGACAAATGTAAATGCATCAAACACAGGCCGCCGTGGTCCAGTTCCAGAGCCGGCGAGCGCCGCTGGCGCTAAGGCAAGTGAAGGTTGCAGTGTTGCTGGGGTAAGGCTTTTTATTATTATAATTTTATTATTATTATTATTATCATCATCATCATCACCATTATTATTGTTGTTTAAAAGAGTTGTTCTTCTTGTTGTTTATTGGACTCGTGAGTGGTCATCGCAGCTCTCCAGCTAAGCCAGGGTGTCTTGCTCCAGTCTCGACGTGGTAGTGCAATTACAACGCTCTGTGCCTTGACCGAGGGTTGACAAGCTGCCCAACTGAGATTTGGGGATAGGTGATGGGGCTGTGATGGTGTGACTGAGGCAGAGGGGCAGCTTTGGGGTTTCAATTTTCTGGTTTTCATGGTAAAAACATAAAAGGTGAAGGCTCGGTTACTGGTGGCACTGGGGGCTGGGGCTGTGCGTGTCCCCTCGCTGCAGGGGAGGCTCTGCAGGGAAGTGGGTCCTGCAGTTACACATTCCCCAGGAACCCACCCACACACCCTCAGCCCTGCCAGGACAGGGAGTCATGAATCCAGCCCCAATTCCCATGCCAGCAGAAAGCCCAGCTGGCTTGCAGGTGACAAACCCTGCGTTGTGCATCAGAGTCAAACCACTGGCTTGGTCTTGGAGGAGCCCAGATGGCCTCTGTGGCTGCCTACAATCTCCCATCATGGAGGTTTGGTTGCAATCTCTTTGGTATCAGCCACGAGGGTGCCTGGGAGAGCTGGTTCCTCCAAATACCACAAGATGCAACCAGTCATTGATGGGCTGATGGTACCTTTAGTGCCCCTTCTTCAGCTTATTCATCTACAGCAAGATACCCATGCTCTGGGTCACTTGAGGGGAAGGGAAGGAGGGGTGAGGGGATGGAAAAGACTCAATAACATCACATCACAATATTCCTACCACCAAGAGTAGAAAGTGCTCCTTTCTCCAAACCTCAGTTAGAGCTTTCAGCATGACCTGACAAGTGTTAAGTCAAAATAAAAAAAAAGTCATCGTGTCAATCCCCTCTGGGTGAAAACGTGGGAAAGAATCGTGACAGAATGATGATGATGCTTTGCCACCAGCTGCAGGTGTTGCCACTCAGAGAGGAGGAAAGAAGACCCAGAGAGAAGTGGTAAGGTCGTGCCAAAGGCCCCCTTTTGCAGCTGACGCACTTGGAAGTGCATCTCATCAGTCTTGGATTGTCCTGAACGCCCACCTTCACTTCAGCCACCATCACTGAGATTCGCTAAAGAGGAGCAAAGAACTGAGTGGTGAGGTCAGGACAGAAGAGCAAACAAAACGAAACGAAACGAAACAAAACACGTCGCGTAAAAAAAGTACATCTCGTATGTAAACATAGAGAGGAGGGGCCGGTCGGGCACGGGATCAGCCACGTTACTGTTTGAAAAGTGACGACAGTGACAAAAAAAAAAAATGAACAATACAACCTCTGTCGCCAACAGCGAATTCATAATAATTAATAATAATAACAATAATAATCACATCACAGCTCCCGTTCACGTGGCTGACGCCGGCGCAGCCCCGCCGTGCCTGATCCCCGCGGTTGTGCCGTAAACCCGACTGCTCTTTGGTGGTCAGGGACCCTACACCAGTGGGAAGGGAAGGAGAAGATGGGATTTTTTTTTTTTTCTTTTTCTTTTTTCCTCCTTTTTTTTTTTTTCCTTTTTTTTTTCCTCGGTTCAGTCCTCTTGCACTGGCAGAGAGATGGTTTGGGTGGCTCCCTGGTCTTCTCTCTTCCCTGAACCATTTTGCAGAGGAAGGGTGAAGCTTTTCCTCTCTCTTTGTGAGGGGAAGAGGTGTGAGTGAGATGACTGAGAAGTGTCCTGCGAGTAACAAACACCTGATTCCACGTGTCCTGTTTTATTTTCTTTTCCCCTATGTACAATCCACATACTTAAGACACACAAAAGGAACCACATCAAGCCTCGTGGATGTTCACCTTGAAATGCAACGTAGGTCCTGGCCCATCTTTGCTTGATGTTTGCCCGTGCTTGCATGCAGAGGATCCTGGCTTGCTTTTGGTTTGGGAGACTTTGGTTTAGGCATCACTTTGCTCTGGTCACTACCAAAAGGAGCGAAAGGTGGCTGATTGAGCTAAAGACACTGGTGCGCAGCTGAGTTCCCCTCAGTAGGGTCTCCAGACCGACTCATCCATCCTCCCAGTAGTCGTCATGGTGGTGGGTGAGTTACTGTGGCTCCCGTCCGCGTCCACCCCGTCGTTCTGATTGCCCAGGGCGGGGTTCATGAGGTTGTTCCCCGCCGAGGCGCTCGTGCAGGACGAGAGCATGCGGGTGGGCGAGCGCTCGCCGCCCGCCACCATGGAGAACTGGTAGGAGCCCGAGGACGTGCCGTAGTACAAATGGTAGGGAGAGGGGTTGGCCTGGAAGGGTCCGCTCTGGTTCTGCGTGGAGCCGGGGTAGGGGGGCGGCAGGTAGGTGTGGTGGAAGCGCGTGGTGGCGGGCATGCTGGTCATGCTGATGCCGCCGATGCCCGTGGCCGAGGGGGTGGCGGTGTAGGGGAAGGCGGCGGACATGGCGCCGGGGTAATGCATCCGCGGGTCGGAGAACCTGGTCTCGGTGAGCGCCGGCAGCGTCGGGAAGGAGCGGTCGAACTGCCGGGGGTCGGAGAAGGGGCTCAGGTCTGACGTGCCTGTTGGGGCGGAGGAAGAACGAGGGTGGTTAGAGCACCGTCC